AGAATTCTTCATGAATTGTTCTCTAATTAATATGAAATTATCTCTTTTTGAAGGCTAATTATGTCAGTAATAATATGCCTGCTTGCTTTCCAGTTATATTTGCTTGGAGTATCTTCTTCCATACCTTTACCCTCAGGCTATTTGTTTTTTCGTGAGGTGTGTTTTTTGCAGGCAACAAATAATTTTTTTTAGTCTAATGTCTACTTTCTTTTAAAAATATCATTGTTTTTTTGAGACAGGGTTTCTCTATGTAGTCCTGGGCATCCTGAAGTTGGCTATGACAGGCTGCTTGCCTCCTGGGCCACCATGCCCAGCTCTGACTGTGTGTCTTTTGATTGGAAAACTAAAACTTTTAACATTCAGACTCACATTACTAATGAAAGTTGTTTTCTTTAATGATTGACCTTCCTAATTTCATGTGTTTACCTTTAGTGTGGTTTATTTTCCCTGGTCTCATGGATAGTTTCTCCTTAGTGTATAAGATTGCTTTAGGTGTCTTCTGTAGTGTTGGCTTGAATTTCTCTGTGTTTTCTTCGGCCTTGAAGGACAGCCGTGTGGGCACAGCAGTCTGGATTGGCTTTCTCGTTGGGTTCGTGAGATGACAGGGATAAGTGAATGAAATAAGTTTACGCCATCAAAGCACCACTGTGTAAACTGGGTACGGTGGTGAATGCCTCTAATCCCAGCACCTCAGAGGGAGAGTGAATTTTTAAAAAGAAATAAAAGGAAAAGAAAGAACAAGACTGCTTCTCGGTATGATGCAGAAGACAGTTTATTGTAAGACGTGTGGGAGAGCACAGCCAGAGGCAGACACACCCGGGAGGGTCTAGAGTGGTCATGAGCCTGAGCTATGTGGGGAGAAGGGGAGGGGAAGGGCGAGAGGGTAGCCAAGTGCAGCAACCAGGAGGCCAAAGATGCAAAAACGAAACAAAACCAAACCCGACAACAACAAAAGGGGATATAAACAAAATGCCTGAATCGTGTAGGGAAGAGCCTTTGACAGAATGGCAGCCCAATCCCTGGGCCAGAGGTTAGAGGCTGGGGTTATGCCAGCCAGACCCTGTGACAGGTAGGGACTGGGAGAGCCTGGAGGCCAGTTCAGCTTTGATCTGATAAACAGGCATTTCAGCTGCTTGTCCTGGGTTTGGAACTTCACCTAGAGGAAGGAGGATGAGGTAAAGGCCAGCTGCAGCTACATGCTGTTCAAGGCAGAAAATCGGCGTATTGTGGCTCTAGGTAAGACTTAGCGCAAATAAAAGAAGCCATGGACTTGAAGGACTTCTGTCTGAACTCCTCTCACATTTGCAAGCACAAGTGTAGGGCTTCTCTTACTAATATGTCCCAAAAATTCTACTCTAGGACTGATACCTACACCTAGAAAGGGAAAAGAACAGATGGGGTCCTCAGAGGTACCACCATCTAGTTTTAGCTTTTTGGAACGTTTGCTAAACCATTAGGCCGCTGTTGGTTTTTATAAAGTGGGAGGCTCCAACTAAATCATCACTAAAGGTCTTTCTGACTCTCGGGAGATTCAGCATTTCATTTCTAACAGAATGTAATGTCCTTGCCTCCGTTCCTCAGGCTACCTAACAAGATGAAGTCTGAGTTCTGATTATTTTTTGGTTTCTTAGGCACTCAAGTCTGAGTTTCTTCGGACTCTTAGGTGTCTTTTCTTCACTGGATATTTAGACCTCTTGTATTTCTTTGTGTCTGTAAACACCAAGCATATATGTTTGATGACGTGTTTCCCCTCAAAACCATACATTCGTGCTTCTGTCATCCGCTTTACTGTAATAGAAGCCAGACTGAAATCTCCTTTGGCCCAGTAAGTTTTCATTACTGTATCTATTTACCCTAGACATTTTCTTTGTGGCTGCCCAACTAACGTCCAACTTATTTCTCTAGAAACAGCTCTCTTCTGACCTCTGCTGGTACGACAATATACAACCATGCCATGAATTCCGTTAATGTTAAAATTTACTTCAAGAATTATCCTAGCGAGTTATCATAAAGATGCAGAGAGTCTTTTAAATTGGTAGGTGTGTTGAAAAGACATCTGAAGCCGGGCATGGTGGCTCATGCTTTTAATTCAAGTATTCAGGAGGCAGAGGCAAGTGGATCTCTGTGAGTTCAAGGCCAGCCTGGTCTACAAAGTGACTTCCAGGACAGCCAGAGCTGTTACAGAGAAACAAAAGCTGTTTCAGGGAAAACAAAAACAAAAACAAAAGTAGAACAACAAGTTGGAGAGATGGATCAGCGGTTGAGAGCACTGATTTACTCTTCCAGAGAACCTGGGTTCAATTCCCAGCAGCCACATGGCAGCTCACAACTATCTGTAACTCCTGGATCCAACACCCTCACACAGATATACATTCAGGCAAAAAACTAATGCACATAAAAATGAAAATAAATTATATCTATATATATATGTATATATGTGTCACATCTGGAGATCAAGATGTAGAACTCTCAGCTCCTCCAGCACCATGTCTGCTGTGTCCTGCCGTGATGACAATGGACTAACCCTCTGAAAGTGTAGGCCAGCCCCAATTAAACGTCTTCCTTTATAGGAGTTGCCTTGGTCATGGTGTGTCTTCACAGAAGTAAAAGCCGGGCTATGACAGGCCTGATGGTGCTTTTGCTTGGAGGAAAGTGGACTTTGGGAGTTTGGATTAGGAAAGCAGCGGGCTTCTTTAAGCGGGCCTTAGTGAGTCGTACCGTAGGAGCATGGAGACAGTGGTACTGAGTGTGCTTGTTAATCTGAATAGACCTTCATAACTTGAAAGTTCACCATCCTAGAAAGAATGCTTTGAACAAGCTAATTTAAAATGTATGCTTAACTACTTAGGTCTTTGCTAGTTCTTGGATGCATAAATTAATGCTGTTTCTTTTTCTTGCTGCTAGTTGCCTGGACCCAGTGTTCACCTCCAGGCTTTCTGGCTAATGGATTTGGCACAATAAATTCAAATGTAATTTTTAAAGTCCAGGGTCAAAAGAGGATATGGTTGGGGTTAGTAGTTAACAGCTTGTGCTTAGATAATCTTAACTCATGTGACATGATTCCAAAGATGCTTTTACATTGTGATATATTAATTCTAGAGATATTCACTTGTTTACAGTGTTAGAACTTGTTTTTTAGGCTTTATCTTCACTCTCAAAAAGTTAAAAAATGTTGTTTTTGCTAATGTTACTAATCTATAATATGGCTTTAGATTTTTATACATCATACTTTTTATAAACTACATCATACAGGAAGCTATTATGTTCTCTCTTTATGGACGCTTATGATTTTGAAAGCTCCAACTTAACAGGGATTAAACATAATGATGTGAAGAAATGCAGGTTAATAGTGTCTTATAAATGATCAAATCCTTTAACATGTCCAGAAATATATTTGTAGTCTTGCTAAGAACCAATGTGATCAATTACAAGATTCAGCTTCATTTAGCCCCTGTACATGTTTTCAAAGTTAAGTGCAAAGTAGTTAGAAACAAGCAAAGTTTGCCGACTTAGATCTACTTTAAGTAGACATGTGCTTCCCAAACCCCACCCCCCCATACAGGAGTCGGTTCGGTGCAGCCTCCCGGTCTTCCCAGCCCTCCACCTAGCCCAGGCCCCTTGGGGATTTGACACTGACAGTTTGAGGATCAGGGCAGGGTGGCGGTCTTCCTTCCAGCTTAGTCTGTTTCCCCTTTTTATCTTTCGGGAAGCTCCCGCTCTCAGTTACCAGATCTGAAGCCCTTTGTCCTCTTCCCAGCAGCGCTGTTTGCTTCCTATGCACTTCCATCTGTACTTCCAAGCTCTCTAGTTCCACAGCCAACTCTGCAGTCCATTCAAAAGCGAGAAAACTGAGTGACCCTGCTGACACTTCAGCTGCTCTCCTAACCATTTTTGAAGTGGAATACAGGAAGAAGACGAAGAAGAAATAGAAAATCCACTCTGGGAGCAAAGTGGGAGAAACCCAGCAGCAGCTGCTTCTATGGACTTTTTGCCGACATCCTGAAACAGTATATTCAGTCTTTCATACCATGTCATCTCCTCTAGGTTCTACTGATCTCCCATCTCATTTCTGCCCTTCCAAAAAACGTAACAGAAAACACAACAAAACTCCACAAACAAACAAAGCTTGGAAAACCTCTCATCATGAAAGCTGTCGTGTATCAGTGTGCTGCACACTATATCCCTGCCACGCATCTTCACTTGCAAATGCTCATTGCAATGACTCATTTGTCTGGTTTGAGGTCTCTGCCCTCCGTGACGCCATCAATACTGGATCCTCACTGGGACTCCTCCCGGTTACCCTGTGTTGCCCTGAAGTTTTGGCTCAACAGGATGGGCCCTTTCACACATCTTGACTATTCGCAGATTTAGACTTTGGGGTGGGCCAACTCAGTGCCCTGGTTCTGGGCCTGGGTGGTAGCTCAGCTGGTCGACACACTGGCTCTCCCTTATCAGCACCAGGGCGAGTTCTGCAGCACTGGGCCGGCTGGACCACCCAATGCTGCCATCAGCAGGAGGCAGGGTCGGCTCTCCCGCTCTCATGCCCTTGGGACTGGCTCACCTGCATCCTTGCCTCCAGAGCCGGCTTCACTGCGTTGCCCAGTCAAGGTGCAGGGCTCACTCTGAAGTGCTGCAGCATGGGCCAGCTCTCCCTCTCAGGGCCTTTGCCAGCAGGGCCAGCTCCACTGTGCTGCACGGGTAAAGTGGCCTCTCTGCTAAGTGCTACAGCTAATGAAGGGGCAGGAAAAGCTCCCCTGCTCTTGGAGCCGGCTCTCGAGACTACTGCAGGTGGTGTGGAGGAACGATCACTCTGCACGGATGCCACCTCATGGCAGATGAATGGCAGGACCAGCTCCCCTGCACCCTCTATCCTGGGGCCAGCTCTCTGTGCTCCCAGGTGAGGTGCAGGGTCCACTTTCCCAAGTGCTGTAGCCAGTGATGGCAGGACCAGCTCTCCCAACTGCCACAAGTGGTGAGGGTGAGGGCGGGGAAGGACTCACCCCTGCCACCTCACAGCAGAAGAGTGGCGAGGCCAGCACCTCCACCACCTGGGTCAGCCCTGCTGTGCTGTCCAGGTGAGGTGCAGGGCCAGCTCTTCCCAGTGCTACAGCGGGTGAGGGGCAGGGCTTGCTCTCCCGACTGCTGGAGGTGGCAAATGGGGGAAGGAGGCTTGTGCCCGTGCCCCCCCACGGCAGTTGAGTGGCGGGGTCAGCTCTCCCACACTGAGGCTGTGGGGCTGGCTCACCCACATCCCTGCCACCACGGCCAGCTCCTCTGTGCTGTCTGGTTGAGGCGCAGGGCCTGCTCTCCTGAGTGCTGCTGTGGTTTCAGAGGTGGCAGCCAGCTCTCCAGAGCATCACAGCCAGTGAGGGGCGGGGCCAGTTCTACACAGCCCCTGGACATGCTGGCGGCTGCCCTGACCAGGGACGTCCCATGTTGTCTAGCCGTATTATGAACTGTGGACATCAACACCAACTCCTGCCGCTGCGTAGCCGTGGACCCAGACATGGCCCTCAGGGGCAGCTTGGGCTGGGACCTCACCATGGCCGCAGGTGGCGGGCTGGCCACTCACAGCCGCCCGCTCCTCTCCCCAAGTCCCCAGTTCCATCTCTCCTCATACGCTCAAGCTGCTCCACTTCTTTCTCTCCTGTCTGTCCACCACACACTCACACACTGGTGGCTCCTCCTGCAGGCTTGTCATGCAGCTGGCAGGCCACTGAGTGAGCTCCTGTCTCCGCTGTGTGGCATGGTGGCAAGTGGCTGTGTACGGCCCGCCGTGCCATGTGCACAGGAGGGCAGGTGTGTGTGTCATGTGATCTGCGGGTCTGTTTGTCTTTCCCCCCTACTCTGTACTGCCTGGATTTGATTTGATTTTTGAGTCCTAGGCATGCAACAGCTCTGGTCACCATGCCGGCCGCCAAGCTAGGATGAACAAAGGACTACCATCTGCCCTGGCCCTGACTGAAATGAGAACACCACCAACAAGGTGTCTCTCTGCCCACTGTCAAGGAAGGGGGAGGCATGACTGAATTTTCTATGAAGGTCCCATGTGCTAACTACAGTTTAGACTCAGTTACTAAGACCACAGGCCTCTCAAGCAGCAATTTGTCCAGATGGACTTTGAGAAACAAGTTTTCACTGCTTAAGTGGTTTAAAAAAATATTTGTTTCACATACTGCTGCATGCCCATGTTATCTTCTATATATATTTGGGTGCTCCCGATTAACTCATTTAACTAGTTGCTATAGAAAAGCCTCAGTTTCAAAGGGTTTAGTTGAAACACATGCTTATCAAAGGCAGAGGTTACTCAAATGTCAAGTGCTCATAAATAGGTGCTGCATATTTCCAGCATCAGAATAGAGCTCTTCAACTTTAAAGATTTTAGGTAACCTGAAATCACATGTAACTATATATAGCCAGTGCGTGATGGACATACTTATACAGAAATACCATCTAGCATCTATGATAGAAATAATTTACAAATACATAAAGCCCAATTCTTAAAAAAATTATGTACAGGTATTTACCTGAATAAATATGTGTGTATTATGTGCCTGTTCCCCACGGAGGCCAGATTCCCTGGAACTGGAGTCACAGATGGTTGTGGACTGCCATGTGGGTGCTGGGAACTGAACTCAGGTCTTCTAGATGAGCAGTGCTCCTCACTGCTGAAAACTCCTCCAGCCTTTAAGTACACAAGTGCTTGGCTGCTTTTATGTGACCACACGCCTGCCTGGTGCCCAAGGAGGCCAGTGAATGCTCTGGAACTGGAGTTACGGATGCCATCCGAGTGCTAGAAACCAAAGCGGGGTCTTCCGCAAGAGCTCCAAGTACTTTTAAGCACCTCGTCGTCTCTCCAGCTCCTACACATCCTTTAAAAGCCTGAGAGTATACTGTGTCATAAACTTCCGCTTGGCTTAAATGCCTTTTAGCTCAGTGGCTTTAAAGTGTTCATTACTTCAAGACAGAGTTGCAACCTTACATAGAATGACAAGATAAAATTCAAAGAATTTAATTAGCAATGGGCTAGACACCTGCCACACTCTGACCACACAGACACCCTTCCTCTGGTTAGGCTGCTTTTTAAACACTCAGAATCTGCTGGAGCAACAGTACACCTCTGTGGCACCCCTTTAAATCCAAATGTGTCTCCCAGACTCCTAGCCTGTAGACATCTGCTTCTGGAAGAAGGCAGCCATGGGCTCTCATGTGACAGTTCTGGCCATTAAAAATAACATGGCTTTCTGTAAAACTTTCAATGCTCAATTATTTGTGGTTGAGACAAGGTTTCCCTGTGTCCTGGCTGTTTTGGAACTCACTCTGTAGACAAGGCTGAGCTCCTCCTGCCTCTGTCTCTTCCGGGATTAAAGGTATGGGTAGCCACCCCTACCTCTATAAAACTTTTAAAAGGAGACAAAAACAAATAGGAAGGGCTTCTTTTTCTTTTCTTTTTGCACAAGACATAAACAAGACTCTAGATACCACATAGCTATTTTACAGCCACAAAGATAAATGCTACATAGTTTCAAACAGTAGAAGACATCTGGATCAACAGGGTGTTTCAGAGTTGCAAGCAGCTCTGATTGATTCTGTGTATACGTTTTGTTTTTCAAGACAGGGTTTCTCTGTGTAGCCTTGGCTGTCCTGGACTTGTTTTGTAGACCAGGCTGTCCTCGAACTCACAACGATCAGCCTACCTCTGCCTCCCTGAGTGCTGGGATTACAGGAATGCACCACTAAGCCTGGCTTATTTTTTATTTTTTTCAAGACAGGGTTTCTCTATGTAGCCCTGGCTGTCCTGGAATTCACTAGGTAGACCAGGCTGGCCTCAAACTCAGGGATCCCTCTACCTCCACCTCCTGAGTGCTGGCCATCACCACCACGGCCAGTTTCATCATTTCTTAAAAGGGGTCAATCATATTCATCTTGGAGAGTGAGCTGTTAAACAAGAGGATACTTGTAATGGATCTAACTATCCTCTCAGAGCAATTATTGGGTAAATAGTATTACTTAATATTAACCAGACTTAACCTTTATGGTACTTTGGAATCATTCTATTCTTGACTCTAAATTGTTCAGTATTTTAAAACCAACAGTATGAAGCAATATTTTAATCAGTTTTAAAGATACCTCAAAATTGAGAAAAGTGATTTGTTGCCCAATAGGCTAAGGAGTCATAAAGGACCATGCCTTCTTTAGATACTGTTTTTTAAGGTGGGAAAAAAAAAATCATTGCCAGTCATTTGTTTAATCTGCTGTCATGGGGATCTACTTATCACTGTTTAACATTATTATTTAATTCACAGGTTATTTAAGAGTTAAAAGAGAAGCCACCATTAGTGATGGCATACACCTTTAATCCCAGCATGTGATTAAAGGGAAGCAGAGGCAGGCAGATCTCTTAGTTCGAGGCCAGCCTGGTCTACAGAGTGAGTTTCATAATAGCCAGGGCTACAAAGAGAAACCTTGCCAAGAAAAACCAAGAATCAACCAACCAACCAACCAACCAACCAACCAACCAACCAACCAACCAACCAACCAACCAACCAAAAACTAAACCAACCCATCAACCAAAAAGAAAGAAAAGAGACAATCTTCTGTGAAGAGCACAGGTTCTGGAATATAGTGACCAAAAAGATAGTTAACTGTTAATACACAATCTTTTCAGTGTTTTGTATTCTGGTTTATATAAAATACTGGCAAGATATGGGTTAACAAAACATGTAGAAAAAGATACAGGCAAATTAACTGCCACTTAGAATAGGTGGCATAGAATGTAGCCAGGTAACTCAGACACCACTAGACCCAGAGGGATATAAAGGTACCAAAAGACTCAGGTCAAACTGCAAGTCCCTTCCTAACGTTTGTCAGTCCAGCAAACTCGGACAGTGCATCTGAATGCATAAGCAAAGATGCACCCAATGAACCTGGGCTTGAAAACTACTAGAACGATACGGTGAAGAGAGAAAGGACAAGCTAGAATATTATGATCAGGCCAGAGGATACGCCTGATACTTGTAGTAATCTTCAAGGGAACTTATTACAGAAGGGCACCTCATTTCAACCAACAGAAGGCACTGGACAATTGAAAGGACTACTGAAAGTTAGTTCCCACTCCTTTAGAAAACAAACACCTGAATGTCAAACACTAGTATGATCTACAGAAGGTTAATGTACAAACTGAAAACCCATAAATGTTACCAAGAGGGCCCTTCTGCAGGTATACATCAAAGGAAACAGAAGAAGATCTGTAAAAAATAAAGTATAGGCTCCCACAGCCATATTTCAAAAGCCGTAATTACTAAATAAGCTACCCTTAAGTTAGACTGCAAAATGAAACACCTTATTGCTTAAAGGCACAAAAGGAAAAAAAAAAAACACGTGCACATTTGAAATAGTTACTTGTATGATAGATAAATGCTATTTAGAACATGTTTAATAGAAAACTCATTTATAAGTCAATTATAGAAGATCAAAAAAATCAAAGATCAATGTTTATTACAACTTTAACTATAAATAACTAAAATAAAAAAAACAAAAGAGGTCTTCTGTCGTGCTTTTACTCCATCATCTAGGTCCTCTGCTCCTTGCCTTTTGGAGAAAACATGGCATTGTAAGGCTGTCGTCTTTTGGGACGAGGGCAAAGATCGAGATCTTCTTTGATGTAACCTGAAAAACAAATTTTAATTTAGAACAGTATAGTATCAACACGCATTTCTTTCAAGGCAGATGAGCATGGTGGCTCAGGTCTGTAATCTCAACACTTAAGAAATTGAGGCAGGAGGATCAGGAATTTAAAGCCAGTCTGGGCTTCATAAGACCCCATCTTAAAATAAAACACAAAACTCCATCCAAACAACAAAAACAGCATTTCTTTCAGTGTATATCCTGTTTGTTTATTTTTTGTTTTGTGTGTGTGGTTTGTTTTTTGTTTCGTTTTTCGAGACAGGGTTTCTCTGTGTATTCCTGGCTGTCCTGGACTTAAACTCAGAGATCCACCTGTTCCTCTGCCCCAAATGCGGGATTAAAGGTATGCACTGCTACCACTTGGCCGTATTTAACTTGTTTAATGTATACATTTTTATGGTACTTCTGATTTTTAGCTTTGTGATGTTGGTGAGTGATTTCACTATTTAGCATTAGTTTCCTTATTTATACAAAGAGAAAAAAAAAAGCAGAAAACAATTGTAAAATGCTTTGTATCCACCATCTCAGATAGTTCACATGTTCCTTCCAAGCAACTTTTACTACACTGATTTCCCAGATGAGGGATGGAGACCTGCAGAAATCAAACTTGCTTAAGATCACAAAACTGGAAGAATATGAAAAATTGCCCAAGCTGTCTAACCCAGTACCAGTTTCTCTATATTGTGCTCCACCACAGGTTTGTGCGTGGGGCCATAGGGTTAAAACTAAACTCTATTATTATAAAATCCAGTGATCCCCACAAAGCCTTTGTGGTAGCTATTTCATTGGGTGAGATGCCTCTCTGTGTTCTCCACGCCATTCAGATTCTCCCCAGGAATCTACAAGCATGTCATTTTCAGGGAAGGACTGTGCTCTGGGCCAGGCTAGTATGGCAAACACTGCCTATACCCAGCTTGTCTGATTGTGTGAACCACCAGGAGGAGAAACGATGTCAATGACTTACAGTTAAATATATGCAGCTTCTCCAAAAGTGGGGACCTTTACTGAGTTTGAAACTAATGTGAGGACGAAGCTGAACTGAAAGTCTAGTTGGTCTTCTTATCTGATATTTATTCATTGTTATAACTTTCTCTGGGCAAAAGTTTTAGATATTTAAAACTTAAAATATAAGTCCAAGACCAAAAGTCTACTAATAAATGCCATAGACCTCACAGTCAAATTATGATCTGAACATCATTATACTTGGTAGTCATATCTCGGAAAATACATCCTTTTTCATAAAAACTCAGTAACCCCCCCCTTCTTTTTTAGCACTGTGCCACTGGTGACAACAAGGAACAAAAACCACCACTCCAAAAACTAGTT